AGTCAAATTCTTCAATACTTCATCAAGACTCACATGCCAATACCCAGCTGATAAATTTGACTTGGTGAATATTTTAACATCTTTCATGTCATGCAGCATATCCTCTAGCAGTGGCATTGTGTAATTTTTATGCATATTTGTCTTATTCAGTTCATGGGGGGGGTGATTACCAGTTGGTTGATCCATAGTGTAGGCTTCTTAACTGACTAGATCACACTAATTTTGGTTAATCTGCTGAACTCCTCATTCATCTGTGGGCAGACAGCTACAGGAATTCTTCTATTGGACATTACAACAGGAACAGCATCCAGCTTCAACTGTAGTGTTGCAACTCCAGGTAATTCACATAGCTTGTTGTCAATCACCTCTTTGAAATCATATATAACAACAGAAGTGATGTGATGAAAGTTGTTTTCCTTGATCTTTACCAGGTTCATCTGCTCACTTTTGCTTGGAGACCAAGTAAAGGTTGGTAGTGATCTTTGTCTTTGAATATAAGAAATTTGACAGAGTATTTCTTGTTCTTGGAATTTTTTATAATTCTTTGACATACCACAAGTGTTCTCATCAGAGTCTTGTTCCACATTGATAGGAGTCCACTGTATAATTTGATGCTGGTTGCATATCTTGCAGGGTACACACTGACATTTTTTGCTCATGTGTCAATTTGGAAGACAACCTCCTTCTTCCCTAGCAGCATAATTACCTTATTGCATCTTTGGCCTTTTAACCTTCTGTGACAACATTCACCCACTGTGCAATATCTTCTTCATCTTCTTCTGAGACAGTGTTGAGATAGTGCATATAAGACTTAGGCTCAGACTTTTTGTCAACCTTCCTTTTCTTAGGCGATGATTGTTCCTTGTTTGGGACATTTTTAGAAAAATCTATTTTGAGGAGATACAAACTTGTAAGTTTTTGAATTTATTCAAATCAACAGTGATTAGTAGAAATCTCTCTTTATATCCTTTGTGACAAGTTTTCTACTAAGTTTTCAAACTTTAAATATTTTTATTTTATTTATTTTTTGGTGGTGTTTTTTTTCTGCAGCCTGTTCTTTTGATTGATATATAGGGCATATATGATTTATATTATTTTAGTTTGGAGTTAATGACCTTAATAACAACAACAACATCAATGACAATAAGCAAAATAAAAACAGACATATAATACTACCTACTAATTCCTTAATATCTATCCAAAACAATTTATTCAAACTTAACAATATCAAAATAATTCAAACCACCTCCAAAACTATTATGGGATATGATCAGAACCAAAAATATCCATAACAATAATAATTCTGAAGCAGGTATATATAAAATAAATTGCCCGCAATTGTTTTCCTTACAATACAGTGGGAAAACTTGCAGAAAGGAAAAAAAAGTATCTCTGAAGACAAAAATGAACACAACAATTTATCAAATGCATTAGTCATACATATTGTAGCAGGTTTATATTCTTTTGATGAGAAGTTATAAATAAGCTCCTGGTACATTTGACCTGTCAAAGTTAGCTCCTCCTCATCTCCTTAACCCTTCACCAGGGGTCTCTCTCCCCTGGCTATAAATACTAGCTGACCCTTCGCCTCAATCTCTTTTTCCCCTCAGGCCTTTGGGCCACCACCTTGAGATAAATCTCTTTTTTCCTTAGGCGTTCAGCCTTACCACCTCGCAGATGTGAGCTCTCACAGATACAGAGTTTCCCAAATTCAGGGAACACGCTAAGAACCATACACATACGTACGAACACTCACCACAACACACATACACATAATATTCACCACACGCACTCAATGTAACTGTCCATGTAACTTGTAACCTTTAACTTGTTAATACATATATTTGTTTACATATATTTATTGGTCTTATTTGTTTTCTTTGGACTTAATTAAAGTCCAACTTTCTCATGTAGTTGGACCGGCTAGCAGGAAATTCTACCCACGTGTATTCTTCTACAATACATACTCACCACCCCCAACGGTCCGCTACAGACCTCCTAACAATTTTGGTGGATTTGTATAAATCCAAAGGAATATAATGACATAGAATTTGAACAAAGAAATATTAACAAATATATTGTCAGGACATTTTACAAAAGAAAAGATGAGAAATGAAATGAAATATGAAAAGTTCAAAGCAACTATCTATAGTTGTTTACTCACATTTTGCGGGGGCAAAAGGAATACATCTTTTTACTATGAAAAGTCACCAAGAAAGAGACTGAGTCTTTCAATTCTCGTGACACCTGTAAATCATCAGAGGGCGATGATTCCAAAATTTTGCCACAGTGAGATTTTATTAATCAGGGGTCTGTAATCCAACAATAGAAATAAATTTAGCCACATCTTCAATTTAAAGAATGCCACACTTATTAAAAGACAAAAAATTTCTTGGGAATGGTTGACATCTAATTTTAATAAAATATAAATTCATGACTATAAAAATGTTAAAAATGAAGAAAGAACAGTTAAATTCAAAACCTTTTTATTATTTAAAATATATAAATTAAATCTCATAATTTTCAGTAAGCAAAAAAGCAACAAAGAAGACTGGTATATTCTTCAATCAAATGGATTGATTAGACCTTAAGAATAAGTAATAATATTTACAGTAATTAGAAAAGAAGGTGAAATGGAAGATGTTAAGAAAAGGAATTAATGTTATGAAAAAAAAGAAAGATTTGTTGGGGATTAGTGAATGTATTTGGTTAAATCAGAAGGAATTTTTAGGTGGCGTGTTCGTTAACATTCATCCACAACAAATAATAAACGAATATTTAGAACAGGTCATGCAAAGCACAGTTAAAAACATAGACAAGTAAAATACACAACAATATGGTAATTTATATACAATTTGAATATATACAAATGAGTTATGAATTGGTGGTTTGTTGTATATTGATAAAATAAGACATGTAGTTTGTTGTTGAGTATGTTTGAATGCTTAAATCAGTGTTTTGATGATTTGTTGTAAGAATTAAACAGTTTGCTGTTCAACGTACAAAAGTGTTCGATTTTACAGTTCAAACATTAGTGTGTGTATACAAGTGTTATATTAAATATTCTTAAGTTGTACGAAGTTGCGTACCTTGAACTGTTAATTGTTGAAAGTTTTGTTTGTTACTGTTACTAATATGTAGTGAATATATATTTCACTTTCTCAAGTAAAGTAAATGAATTTTTGAGAAGTTTGTTTAAAAGAGAGATTGAGTATGCCAAAAGGTTGTTGAGACAGAGGTTAATTTGTGTGGGGAAAGTCAAAGTTTAAACTGGCATGGAATTGGTTGGCATCTCTCTGAGTGTGGAATTCTGACTGGTAAGTTGGTTCAAATTTCTTTCTTTTATAGGTTCTGGAAAGGAAAAATAGGCTCAAACACATTTGAGTGCCAAAGGCATTTTTCACGTGCATACTTAGTTTTTTAAGGATGTTAGCCAATGAGAAATTGAGTTTGTCAGAACTAGTGTTTTGATTGGATAACAGGTGTGTGGGTGTAAGAATGGATTGTTCTGCAAAGGGGTGAAAAGGTAATGTGAATTATTCCACAGATTATTATAATTAAATGATTGTTGCTAAAAAATATAAGCTGAGAAGAAAATTTAGATACTATAAAAATTATTTATATAATAAAAAAGAAAATGCTGGGATTATGTAAAAATAAATATACAAATTATTTGTAATAAAAAAGATAATATTAAAATTGTATGAAAAACTAAGAAAATTAGAAAGTTACAGTTTCTTTGAAAAACAAATTGCAACTGCTAGTCAGTTTATAAAAAACATGAATGAAAATTGATTTGCAAAAGTTTGCAAAAATGCATCTCAGATCTAGCCTCAATATAAAATTTACAAACAGGTGCAGTTTGATTGGATAATTAATTTCAAGTTTTTAATCAATAGGGGTAACATTTTGATCCAGTTGTAGCCACTATCAGGCTATAAAAAAAGTCTGTTTTGTCTAAGGGTTCAGAAAGGTTTTAGATATCTCAGTCATGTAGACTGCTGTTTTTGCGAAAGAAAGAAGAAACTTCTAAATGTGAGATATTTATCTCATGTCTGTTTCTAATCTAAAACTATGAAATATATCTCATTTGTAAATGTCTATTTCTAAAATCTGATTATTTTGCCTAAAAACACAGAAAACCAGCATCATTTGAGATAGGTCTTCCTTTCTCATCCCTTCAAACTTAAATTTGCAATTTTTTTGAAGTAAGTAAAATTCTTTTGTTGTTAAAAAAAAGAAATTGATTTATATAAAAAGTTGTCTTGAATTGTTCAAAAAAGTAAGTAAAATTCCTTTAAGGAAGAAATTATTTTTCATGACTATTCTTTTCTAAGAGAAAACAGATTTGTATTTCAAAGAACTGTTAATCTGTCTTGACAGTTTAAGATGCACAAGTGAAATTTTGTGCTGGTCCTATCTTGTATTTTTTTCGCTGGTTTCCTAAATTATTTTTTCAAACAATGTATTGTAAATTAAACTGAATAATTAATATTAATTGTTCAGTTTAATTTCTTTAAATTGATAATTTAAGAAATATTAAATAAATTTGTATTCAACTTATGACCAGCATAGTCGAGCAAATTCTGTACCATAAAAATAATAGTTTCATAAAATTTTAATTTTTAACAGTGAAATTTCCTTTGAATTCTCAACAAACACAATCAATTTTTGGTTCCCAGATTGATTTTTTTTTTTTTTATGTTCTTCATATGTTGGAAGAATTCATTTCGTTATTAATCTTTGATAAGTCTTCAGTCGAATAAATTACCACTAATTTATTCACTTTTATTCTGGTGTAAATGAGGAAATAATTGTAAACATTCATAAAAAAAAAAAAAAAATTATTCAAAATTTATTTTTATTATTTTTCGACTTTATATCCTTATTATTACAAGTGTTGATAAAACTTATGCTGTGGGTTCGTGTTAAGCACTATCGTTATTTTTCCTTGCCGGCGTATATTGTTAATATTTCTACTTCCTTCCTTTCTCATCAAAATGGCAACCCGTAAAAGTGCTTCTGATAGTGGTATTCAGTATGTTCAAATTGATGGACTGGTAAGTAGATTTACATAGTATTTTATCGGTTTTTGATTTAATGAAAGTCTTAAGGCAAGATTTTTTTATAGATTGAAATTACATCTCAAATTGTCTTCGATTTAATGGGTATGATTTGACGCATATAGTTTTCAAGGAAAAACATGGCGAGGTTATCTCACCGACTCCGACCACATGCAACTGAAACTAATTTAAATTTTGATAATTAAAATATTATCATGGAACATGTTAATATTTAGTAAGTACTTTTAGAAAAAGTGTTCTATATAAATTATGAATGAATCGTACCTTTTTTTTTTTCCCCCTAAGGTGACAACGAATTTGTTTGATGGTTTGTTTGCTTTTTGAGGTTGAAATATTGCAATTATGAATTTCTTCAAAAATGTTTAACTATTTTTTTTTTTAAGTGATCCTCAGAATTAAGGCAAAGGATTATATTCTTCATTTAATTTATTCTATCTTAATCTTTATATTTCCATCACCAATTTTCCGATGTTGTTAAAAATAAATAAATGAAATAATAAATTCACAAGTGAGATTTTTAAACTCTATAATTTACAATTATGAGGAAAATTGAAAATTCATACTTCCTCAGATTAACAAGGCGACAACTTCGTACGATTGGAGATCATAATGACCGAAATCATACTTAAATAAATAATAAAAGATAAATAAATTAACCCAAATGAAACGGTCATCTCTGGTTTTTTGGGTTTTTTTTTTTTTTTTTTACCAACAATCTGGAACGTTTTCTTTTTTAAAAATCAGATCGCGCATCTTGTACGGGGTTATTAACTTTTAATTTTTTTTAAGTAATTACAAAATTAAAATTTTTTTTTTTTTTTACTTCAAAAGCTCAAGTTAGGAAAGACTAAAAATGCAGGGTTTTTTATTATTTTTATTTTTTTTACTTTAAAAATTAACTGAAATTTCTTAAAATAATTTTTCTTTCAAGCCCCAGAGGGCTCTATCCTTGGACCTATATAATTTTCATTAGTGAGCTTAATGTTGATGGCATCAGTTCTCAACCCGGTATCTATGCTTGATGACACAACTATTTTACTTCTCTCTCGATAAGTCTGATTATTTTGATAAGATTGACAGCTGAGACAGCTTGTTAATTTAAACATCTCCTTATCTGAGACATCTCTTTCTGCTTAATTGAATCAATTGCTAAGTCTGCTACTAAGAAAGTTGCTTCACTGTTGTGCTAGACAATTTTTCTTGCCAGAATCTATCTTAGATATATTTAATAAGTCTAACATTCGTTCATGCTTTGAATATTGCTGCTATATATGTTCCAGTGTTCCTGCTATGTAGAGATTCTTGTTAAAATCCAAATAATCAGTAATATTATTGGTTCAGTCACTTTCCCACTGCCACAATGTATTGTAGCTTCTCTGTGCCTTTTCTAAATATTTTCATGGTAATTATTCTGATAAACTTTCCTGTATGCTACCTAGACTTTATGGATATAAAGTGCAGTACTACATTGGTAACAAAGCTTCATCATTTTACAGTTGAAATGGCTAGATGTAACCATAAGTTCTATGCTAATATTTTCTTCTCTTGCATTTCTTGCTTGTGGAACTCTCTTCAGGTTTTTTGCATTTGAGTCAAATTTGATCTTAAAAAAAATTAAATGTAATGTCAATCGTTATCTTTTGTCTTGATTCTTTTTCTTCTATTATCCTTGTGACTTAATGTTTTCTTATTCTTTCATATTCATAACCTCTTTTCTCTTAATGGCTTTATTGCATTGTTACAGCTGTTTGAGGGTTCCTATAGCCATACTAAGCTTAAATAAAGTCAATTCAGGTCTGCTATGGTAAAAATTTTCTGTCCCAAGTATAAATCATTACAAAAATAGCAAGTCATTTGTCACAGCCTATTTTCTCTAAATAAAAATTGGATTTTCATACTTTTATAGTGGTAAGATAAGGTATAATCTTGAAAAATGAGTTTTGTCATCATCTGAATAAAAGTATCAAAGAAACTTTTGATCAGAACACCATGAAACTAGGTATTTTCTGAAAGCAAACAGTATGTTCTTTCATTTAAAAATAAAATTGCCTGGTGTAATTGAGTCAAAAAAATTTTTCAGGGGGTAAAATGTGAAAAAATAGTGAAAATTTTGCTTTTTTTTATAGTTCTAAACAAAAATTTTCCACAATAATGGGGTATTAATATTTTTTCTTTGAAAATCAGAAAGCCTAAATCATAATCAAACAATTTCAGCCATTAAATTGAGAGTTTGAAGCAAAACAAAATTCTCAGGGGGTCAAAAATAAGGCAAAATCTTCAAAAATTTCAATATTTTAGTCCATTATCTGGTGAAATGTCAATCATAATTTCATGAAAGTAGGTATTTTCTGAAAGCAAACAGTATGTTGTTTCATTTAAAAGTAAAATTGACTGGTGTAATTGAGTCAAAGAAAGTTTTCAGGGGGTAAAATGTGAAAAAATAATGGAAATTTTGCTTTTTTTATAGTTCTAAACAGATTTTCCACATTAATGGGGAATTAATATTTTTTTTTTTTTTTTTTTAAATCAGAAGGCATAAAATAATCAATTGGAAACTGTTAACTTAATGCCACTTTTAGTCTGTGAGACATGAATCATTTTGAGATTGTGTAACAAAATACACACACTGTCATCAGAAAGGTGCTTAACAGCACAAGGCATCAAAGGAAGAAATGCAGACAAGTCAAGAATTTTTGATTTTTAGAAAATACAAACTTTTTTTTTTTCAAATTGAATGTTTTTATGACAAATATTATTTTTAGATTTTAGAAGAAAAAGACTTCAATGAAGCAGATGATGATGATGATCCTGCTTGAATCCAATCAATGCAGCTTCACACTCAGTTAAGAGGATCCGGATGCAGAAGGTTCATTCAGACAAGAACAAACACCACCTTTGTAAAATTCATTGCAAGTTTTACACTTTTTGGAAACCGGGACAACAGAAGATCTATCCACTTCACCTTTAAGGGCATACTTACGTATTAATAGCTCTTGTTTTGAACCAGGGTCCCTAACACAGGCATACGTACGCTGATCTTTTTTTATGAAGTGATGCAAACTCTCCCCACCTTCCTCGCTAAAAAGTCCTACACTTCGATGAATTCTGGCCAAACGAGGGAGATGAAAAATAAAATCATGGAGTTTTGCATTGATCGGTTCTGATGGGAAATTTTTCTCCCATTTTCTGACAACAAAATTCCAGATCATCCAGTTGATGATCACTCAAAAATGTTTGCAGTACCATGATCTGATGGGCCTTTGAATACAGTTCAAAAAGTTCTGTCAAATGGTGATCGACATCAGAATCCTGAGGGGACAAGACACTGCAAAGTTTTGTGAAGTTATAAATGCCAGCCTTATTCTTGGACAAAATAACTTTGCAGTGATTGCCAACAAAAAGGCCACCGTGGTATGCCTGTCTTTTTATGTCCATTTCCTGTAACATTTCATCAATTTTTTTTTCTGTTGGCCCCACAGTGTTTTTCAGTTCCTGTTCAATGGACGAAATGGTATCAGAGAGCTGTTTTAAACGAGAATAAGCTGACTGTACACTTTTTTGATATTTCTCACAACTATTTTCAGCTGCAAATTTGACAGGAAGTCCCCAACATTTGAGACAAGTGTATTCAACCTCAGACATGGCACTTGTGTCTTCATCCGAAAGACCCTCACACATCATGTGTTGCCACTGAGCACATGAGTCACACATAACCCAGTCGTCTCTGTATGAGTCCGTGTCATATTTTGTGACAAGGCAGATTTCTGCTCCACATGATTGAAGAATCTCAGAAATTTTTTTAGGACGCCGACCTCTTTTCCCGCTCAGTGCGTTTTTGGCTAGTTGTTCTAGTTCGAGTGTCGCCGACGCCCTGCTTTCATGTTTCTCCACGATTCCAAGACGACTGAGAATATTTTGGATGTCCAGAAGACGCTTGCAGTACAACTCGTGTTCACCCTGGGCCACCTGTTTTTCTGCAAGTGTGTCCCTTTGTCTCTGTTCAATTTCCAAAATTTTACTTTCAACTTCTGTGGTAATTCCCAAAGTCTGATCAATGGCCTGGGCATATTTTTCCCAAATCCTAAAAAACTTTGTAACTACCCTGAGAGTCACATGCAAAGTAGGAAGAACAACATTGTCCAAGGACTTTATGGGATAAGCAGCACAGCCGACGACTGACAAATGATCTCTTCCTTTTTTTTTTTTTGAGCTTCCCGGCTTGCCAATCATCAACCACATTTTCTGCGTAATTCAACACATAGTCAATAATATGGCACAAGGGAATATTACAGGATTTAGGAGTGTGTGGACTTTTGGGGTGGTTTCGGAGATGATCCAAACTAACCTGGTCATAAATAGAAGGAAAAGATGCAGATGCACCTTGATGTCCCAGAGTTGCATATAGGAATTTGTAATCACCTCTGAAAAGAACAGTGACAGGAAGTCCGCATATATTGAAATTTGAGTCCTGCATGTGTTGAAAATCTTCCCAAAAATTTGCCATGGCCTTCATTTGGTTTTCATGTGTATCCTCAGCTGCAAACAAAGAATATATTTTGCATGAAAATGCTGACCCACTAATTTTTGGAGAACAGACAGAGAAATGAAATTTCATGCTCTTGTCTCCTTTGTCACCCGAAAAAAGGACAAAAACTTTGCCTGCTTGACTGAAACAGTCACTGTCTTTTTGCAGCATGCTCTGAATTCTTTGAGTCATATATTCAAGCAGATTCTTCACCTGGGACACTGGAACCTCCACAAGTTTTCTTTCATCATCATACTTATTTTTTGTGTCCATGAGTACAATTTTGGTTTTAAGTTCACTTTCAGGGCAAACAAGAGTTTTCTCATGAGAATGCATGGATAATTCTGAAGGAAAAATTGTAATTCCATAGGCTGCCAGGGTGGTTTTCAAACGTCTCAAAGTTGCCCAAGGAAAATCAAGACAAAGTCTAAGGTTTACCGCCTGAACAACT